CAGGCTAGTGTAAGTGTGTATTCTTAGTTATATGCAGTAGTGTGCACAGTAATTGGGACAGTGATATAATAAGACATTTATTTGGAAAATTATTGTTTATTAGAAAAATTCACGGCAATGATATGACAGATAATTGATTTAATAAGAGATATGGCTACACTTATCTTTTATAAGCATTGCTACACGCTTTAGCATAGAACCTACCGATGTTGAACACATTTTGGCAAGTTCTTCGTCATGGTACCAGGTCCTAATAACAGCATTAATTAACTTCTCCACAGTCGAACAGTCCTGTTTTGCGAACCTTGACTTGACGTGGTTCGCCGGTATTGTCACGGTTGGGTCTTGTCCAGTTGGTGACCCTGCGTTGGCCCCCGGGGTGGGGGATGTTCATCGTTGTCTTCTTTCTTCTATATTGTGCAGAAAACTTACAGCGGCTTCCTTGGATAGGGAGGGTCGTTCGTCGTCTCCTCTCTTGTGCCGTGGTTCACAATCCTGCATTTGGTTATTGCCTATAAATTCTCAATTGGGTTGAGGTCAGGAGTGCACTTAGCCCACTCAGTTGGAAAACTGTCAGTATTTTTCTGGAAGTGTGGCATGGAGTAAAATCCTGCTGGAAAATACCTTCTTTATCAGGAAAGTTTCTATACACAATGAGAAGCAAATGAGTTGCCAGGATTGCCTTGTTGAATGTATCCATTCCAAAGAGGTTCGCCTTTGCTCCGTCTCACTGCCACTGATCTGTACCGATGTACTTCAAAATGCACCATATCTGATCAAGTGCCCACTGCAGGTGTTTTTTCTTCGTAGCAGCAGTCAATATTGTTTCTTTACTGGCTTTTTGGCAGTTCTGTCTGCTTCAAGGGGCCTTTGTCAAACAGCTGAAGAATCAACATTTATGCCAGCTGAAGCCAAATCTCTTTCTAGATCTTTGCTGGTTTTCTTGGGATCCTTCACATTATTTCTTATAATAACCTTGTCATTGTGAGGTGTTGTTTTGCATTTTCTTTCACATTTCCTCGATGCAGCGCTCCATAATCACTAATGTCGTTAGCTCTCTTCAGAATCCGACCAACAGTTGACTTTGCTAGGTACAGATTTTCGGTGATTTGTCTGATACTCAAATCACCATGTATTCTAAGAGCTACAATACTTGCATGCTTCCTAGGTGTATCATCCATCATGAATTTAAGCAGTAATCGTGAACTGAAGGGAAGATTTTTGGCGAAATCACACTCATGGAGCATGCTTGCAGGAATAGCTTTACAGAACAACAGATGTTGTAGCACTGACGAGAGTCGTAGGGTAACACCACAGTTGCCAGAAGTCAGTAGCAAATTCTTACGAAAAGAACCCACACTACATTAATGAAGCTGGAGACTAAGTATACATTATGAGATAAGCACAAAATTTACTCCTGTCCCAATTAATTTGCACACTACTGTAGTTTAAATCATCGAGAGGCCATTGCAACAATTACTCTGCATTGTTTTCATATGGATGTCTATGCATATTCTTTGATATATAATATAGTACAAATTTTTCACCCCTGAATCATTCTGACTGCATTTACTCATTCTCCGTCTCCCTATACAGGTGGGCGCCACTTTCTACGAGTATGTGGAGCGTGAGCGGTGGCTGCGGGACGCCACTGTCAGACCCAACATGGAAGTGTTTATGCTGAAGATCTTCATGTCCCTGGCTGTGGGCATCATGGGTGGCCTCTTTCTCATCAACAGCCGCGTCCTACACTCCTGGAAGCAGTTCTTAGGAGATTTGCAGCTAGGAAGCAGCCACTGCCGGCGTACTTGCAGACACCTCACTTGACGGGGTCAGTGCTCCAGGGGTCTGGCACTCCCCACAAGGTCCCTCCTGGGCATCACAACCACTTGCAACCACCACTATCTTCCCCAGCAGCGTCACCAGGAAGCTCCTGGGGCACCCTTACCAGACGTTCACGGCTACGTTCACATGTACCCCCCACAACCCCCGAAGAGCCTATACCACCACCACCTCTCTCACCCGTCCAGGCATAAATGTGGCTCTGAGACACAGGTGTAGTGGCTGAAGTGGTGACCACCGTCAGGTGTGACCACCAGAGTTGCTCATCACAGTTCACCTGTACTTAAAAAAACATCTCCGGTGATCCAGCTGCTGGCATGATTCATCTTTTAGTTCCTCTGAATAGGACAGGAAAAATCTTGAATAGTCAGCCATAACCACAGTCACGATAGCTATTTAAAATAAATATTGATAGTGCCAAGCTCGTGTAGGTCATATAGTGAGAGAAATGTGTAAGCTTGATTCTCCATCAGTTAAGCTGGAGGTAGACAAGCTGTCATCCAGGTGAAGAGTCAGGAGGAACTGCAATTGTTAGACGCCCGTTGACATAAACTGCTTGTAGTGTTGTAATGCAGTAGTGAGAGGGACTACACGAGTGACAAATAAGCAAGCCTTATATATCCGTTTATTCATTGACATTCGTTCATTACGCCTTAAAGTAAAGTATATATATATATATATATATATATATATAATATATATATATATATATATATATATATATATATATATATATATATATATATATATATATATAGTTTAAGGCGTAATGAACGAATGTCAATGAATAAACGGATAGGTGGACGGGGAGCCTCGAATCGTGGTCCCGAGGTTAACAGGCGCAGTAGTTGACCACTGAGCTACAGGGATTCTTATAGGAAAGGTTCACAGAAGGCACTGCTGTGTCCTGTCTGTGTCAGTGGCTGCTGCCGTCTATAACCCTACTGTCCTTTCCCACAGCCACAGTAGTTTTCACGGTAAATCTACATGGGTTGTGTTAATCTTGGGACGACGGTTCGAGCCCACAGTTCACCTTTCGGTTTACACGTGTGTGTGTGTATATTATTATATATATATATATATATATATATATATATATATTATATATATATATATATATATATATATATATATATATATATATATATATAATCAAAACTCAGGATCTGCCTTTATGGTATTTTTGTGACTGAATGACTCAAAAACTGACAGCCAAATCTGGTTGTAAAATTACTTTTCTGTAATTGTAAAATGCGCTGCCATAATGTTCGTCTCTCAGCCAAGTCTTGTGTTGCCCAAGACAGAGGAGGGATTAAACCAAAGTAAATTTTAAGTGTTTTGGGTTCCTTTGAGCTTCAATATGTAAAGTCTAATGAAGCCTCCAGTGTTTGTGGCATCCAGAGTCCTGGCAGCCATGTAAACCTACAGGCGTCTATTGGTGCTTTAACTATAAGTTTTTTACATAGTTTTTTTTAAGAAACAGGTTTCCTCATGGTAAACAAAGCGTGGATGAAGACATATGTTCCCTTATATTGTTATATATTCTAAAATTTATACAGTTAGCATATATCAATTAATTTTTAATTATTGTATAGTGCCTCAAGAAAACGTACTTCCAGAAGCAATTTATGTAAAATAGTACAACAGTTTTCCGTATTGTTCTTCCGGACATATGTGATACAAAAGCTGAGTCCAATTTTCTAAACCTTTAGAACTACAACAGTGAGGGAAATAGTAGGAATATATGTAAATTTATGGCGTGTGTACATAGTGGTATGTTTGTATGTAGTGAGTAAGTGTGGTCAACCACAAGAAATAATTACCTCAAGCAACACCAGTTAACTCAAGTTTCACTTTGTTGCTCCTTTAAACTCTGTTATAAATGTCACTGCTCCCACACACTTCAACTTCCGGGTGTTTGTGGTGCTGTCACTGCTCCCACACACTTCAACTTCCGGGTATTTGTGGTGCTGTCACTGCTCCCACACACTTCAACTTCCGGGTGTTTGTGGTGCTGTCACTGCCGTAACTTCTGAACATTTATAACGGAGACACATTATTGATCAATAATATTCAGTTGAGTAGTAGAAAAATGAACCCTAATTGACTTATTGAAAAGAGTATTGTTGAAGCAGCTGTGAATTGCCTGGAGAGGACTGTTCCCACCTTTCCTGGTGCAACTTACCGAGAAACACACAAGATACAACTACCTGTCTAACTCAACTGATGCAAATTGGTGGTTCACCTCTACCTGTAATATTCGTATTATTAGACACAGCGAAAACTGGGTTGACAACGATTTTTCACGAATACAAAAAAAAAAAAAAAAAAATCCAGTTTAAATGGAGTCTTGGTTTTCAAAATAGTTAAGAAAAAATAACAAGTGCAGCAAATTACGTTCTTAGTCACAAACTGTTTTCTGGAGCATCATTTCTGATCAATTAAGAAAACCACTTGACCCGGTACATAATTAGTGCCCCTGTGGCCATATTGATTGTATCTCGTGATTGTTGTTGTTATTATTATTATTATTATTATTATTATTATTATTATTATTATTATTATTATATTTTAACATTAATAATTATTGTCGTAACGATTGCTTCTGGCTTGTACATCTACAAATGTAACAAGTTGAACTTCCGTATTTGTATATTACTGAAGAGTCCAGATTTCTAATCAAAATATATATTCCGAGCGTGTAAGTACAAATGTTCATCAGACATATTCTTCTCCATCTTGTATCTTTCTTCCCATGACTTGTGCTTACCTCTCCTTACTCACCCATTTATTTCTTTGCAAACGCCCCTTAGGAGAGGTTCCTTGACGCTGGTGAAGGGCTCTTGATCTAGGGAATTGGATCTGTGCTCCGATTCCCTGAATTGAGCCTGAATACCTTCCATCCTCATCCCCACATGCGCTATATAATCCTACGGGTTTAGCGCTCCCCCATGATTATAATTATAAATCTTTGCAGACGTTGGCTGTAGTACTCTACCATTTTCTTCATTTTCCTGTTTTCTGCTGTACAACTCAGCTGTCAGTTGGCTCGGTAATTAAGTCAAGAGCCAAGATTATAACTTATCACTATGCAACCCAAAAACAAGGCAAATACCACATCTAGTATCGGGCCCTTACTCAGGATGGGACTTACACAGATGACAACAATGAAATGAGTGAAATATTGAAATTCCATTACGACTCTGTGTTTAGTGAACCACTAATCGGTCTGAGGATCGACGACCCAAATGATTTCTTCATGAATGAGCCTCAAAACTCCATAAATGTATGCCAGATTTCCGACATTACCCTAACTCCGATAGATTTCGAAAAAGCCATTGACAACATGCCCATGCACTCAGCCCCCGGACCAGACTCGTGGAACTCTGTTTTCATTAAGAACTGCAAGAAACCCCTCTCGCGTGCCCTAAGTACACTATGGAGGAGGAGCTTGGACATGGGTGAAATTCCAAAGTCACTTAAAACAACGGATATAGCCCCACCCCATAAAGGTGGCAGCAAAGCATTAGCTAAGAACTATAGACCAATAGCTCTGACGTCCCACATCATAAAAATCTTTGGAAGAGTGGTAAGAAGCAGGATTGCAAATCGCCTGGATTCCCAAAATCTGCACAATCCAGGGCAACATGGGTTCAGGACAGGTCGCTCCTGCCTCTCACAACTACTGGATCACTATGATATGGCCTTGGATGCACTGGAAGAAAATCAGAATGCAGATGTAATATACACAGACTTTGCAAAAGCATTTGACAAGTGCGATCATGGCGTAATAGCCCATAAAATACGTGCTAAAGGAATAACTGGGAAAGTGGGGAGATGGATCTTCAACTTCCTAACAAATCGAACACAAAGAGTAGTGGTCAACATAGTTAAATCGGAGGCTGCCATAGTGAAGAGCTCTGTTCCATAAGGCACAGTATTCGCCCCCATCTTATTCCTCATCCTCATATCAGACATAGACAGAGAGATACATCACAGCACCGTATCATCCTTTGCGGATGATACTAGGATCTGCATGAGGCTGTCATCTGCTGAGGACGCGGTTAACCTCCAAGAAGATATAAACAAAGTTTTCCAGTGGGCAACGGTAAACAATATGATGTTCAATGAGGACAAATTCCAACTACTCCGTTATGGAAAACTGGAGGAGATAATAACTAGAACAGAGTATATTACAGACTCTGGCCATACAATAGAGCGGAAAAATAATGTAAGGGACCTGGGAGTAGTAATGTCTGAGGATCTCACTTTCAAGGATCACAACAATGCCACGATCGCACGTGCAAAGAAAATGATAGGATGGATAATGAGAACGTTCAAAACGAGAGATGCCAAGCCAATGATGATCCTTTTCCAATCACTTGTTCACTCTAGGCTGGAATACTGCTGTACATTAACATCTGTATTCAAAGCAGGTGAAATCACAGATCTAGAGAGTGTACAGAGATCCTTTACTGCACGTATAAGTTCTGTCAATCACCTTAACTACTGGGAATGCTTGGAAGTACTTGACTTGTACTCGTTGGAATGCAGGAGGGAGAGATATATCATAATCTACACTTGGAAAGTCCTGGAAGGAATGGTCTCAAATCTGCACACAGAAATCACTCCCTACGAAAGTAAAAGACTGGGCAGGCAAAGCAAAATGCCCCCAATAAAAAATAGGGGCGCCATTGGTACACTAAGGGAAAACACCATAAGTGTTCGGGGCCCAAGACTGTTCAACAGCCTCCCATCAAGCATTAGGGGAATTGCCAATAAACCCCTGGCTGCCTTCAAGAGAGAGCTGGACAGGTACCTAAATTCAGTGCTGGATCAGCTGGGCTGTGGATCGTACATTGGACTGCATGCGGTCAGCAGTAACAGCCTAGTTGATCAGGCTCTGATCCATTGGAAGGCCTGGTCATGGACCGGACCGCGGGGGCGTTGATCCCCGGAATAACCTCCAGGTAACCCATTCTGTCCAAGCGCGAGTGGCCATGCTGCCCTCCATTAACACAGAGTCAATCTGGAGATACTAACTTAACTCAGTGGGCCTGGGGATACCATCACCTCCACGTTACTAATGTCATTTAACACAGAGTGAGCTTGGGTATACTAATTTAAAGCAGCAAGCATGTGGATACCAGCATAACAAAGAGCGATCGTGGGAATACTAGCCTAACATAGCGAGCGTGGGGATACTAGCCTAACACAGTGAGCGTGGAGATAACTTATTTTATACATAAATGGCATGCCATACAGACAAGATACCTATTTAGACACATATGCAACATATGAGCATACAGTGGAACCTCAAATTTCGAACGTATCGCTTATTGAACTCTTCGAAAATAGAACCCTTTTTTTGAACCAACTTTGTCCCTATTATCGAACTCGCCCCTATTTTCGAACTGCTGGGTACCAGACCTGTCGTGTCCCCATGCAGGCACCGTGAACCAGTCTGGTTTTGTTGATGCTTGAGTGAACACTAACCTGCGATCTTGTTAAAACAGTTTGCGATTATTTCATTGTGTTTAGTGCTTGTGGGACTGTGAAATGAGCTACAATGGGAGCATTGAAACTTGCTAGTGGTACCCCTGTGGTAAAGAAAGTGAGAAACACCATAGATGTGAAGAAGGAAATAATACAAAAGTG